GAGCCTGCTGCTGTTTTTACCTTTTGTCCAGCGGGTGGATGGGATGTTCACCACTGCACATTGTTAAAATGATATGGAGATTTGCCTGTTGTCTCACACTCTGTAAGTTTGGAGTATTTCTTATTTTGTACCACATAGTTACATGAAAGCATACACATTAACACTGTGCATGCGGCAGTAATTACTGTCTTGGGCTAAAGAACCAGGAGCTTGGGCTAAAGAACCAGGAAACAAAAGTTCCATAATTCCAGTGGCAATTCCAATTAAAATTTTAAAAGTCTTTTCACAGTGGTGAACTTTTGTCGAGTATTCGTGTAATAATGTATTTGACTGTAGTCTTGTATGTCTGAGCACCAGACTCTCACAAACACACACACACACCATGCGTAACAAATGACCTGAACGATGCCTTCAGAGTAAACTTTGGCAGTTTTATATTATTGCCATGCTTTAAAATAATTCTAAGAATAATTTCAAATGAAAATAAATGGCTCTACACTTTTCAGCAGCCCAAACGTTTCACAGTGGATGATAAAGACTGAAAGAAACAGGGTGATCATCTCTCTCTTTATTATTGTTTGAGTTGTTGTCTGTCAGTCCCTCACACTCACACACACAGGACTCATCCTGAAACTTCTGTTCTCGTCCGTTTACAGAACACACCGTCCTCCTGGCCATTTTTGAAGACAGCAAAACTGGCGAAAAAACATATAACCTCAATACCTTAGCATATTCAGATCTGATTGGCATAATTGCCATTATTCATAGATGGTAGATTATTATACATAGAGATTTTTAATATTTCATTCGCATGATGAGTTTTACATACGCAAATCACTATTTATATATGGTAACAGATGCACATCATTCCGCTGTTATTCCATGGATTGATTTTACTATGTAAATTAATTGACAGAACACAATTTTAATATTGACATCTTTATTGCTCCTGCATTTCTTAGCAGCATGCTTTAAAATAGCGTGCTTGCAATGACAGTGTTAACTAGATTTCTGATTCTAAATATATCTAAGTAAATGTACATTGGCCATATTATATCTTCTGCGAATTATAATGAGCAGCCATGTTTCTTTACGTTGCAGCACAGTCAGGGAGTGAGACTTCTCTCATTCACAATGCATAAATTCTTCCACTTCTCTCAAAAGACATGAAAGTAAGTGGCCGATAAAACTGGGAGAAGAATTAAAGTGAAACACATTGTCAAAGAGAAAGTAAAACACGTCAAATTATGTTGAAAGACTATTCTCTCAATGGTTACAACTGTGTATTTTGACAAACTATAATTGTCCTTTGCTACTACGTCTGAAACATAAACATTATGTAGTTAAAAACACAGAGCATGTCCATCTCGTGGCTGAGCACCAGCCGTAGCGTGAAAGCTGGCTTGAGTTTAGCAGTCTGGCGAATGTGATCGTATTGCGGGCCGGTCAGAGGGCAGTAGATTTCAGACCCCTGGCTTACCGTCTGTCAGAAAGCACGAGACAAATCCTTCACAATGGACACTCATTTCTTAAAATTCTTTAAGGTGTGGCTCACACCTTGGGCTGACTGCATCACCTCCTGCAATGTTTTGCCATGCATGAAGCAGCTCACATTCCTGGCACTGATGCAGTGAGGATAATGCATTAGTAGTAATAGTGCATTGGTAGAACTGAATATGCAATGTAGTGATGTAGGCATCACCATCGGATGCAAGCAAGCGCTGAACCATCTCTGTGTGCTAAACATGAATCAGTTGTGTCAACTCTTAATAATGACCATATCTTTTGACATGTTTGTGTGCAGCAAAGCACTCATTTAGTATATGAGAGTTTGAGACACTAAATCGCACTCACGCAGTTCATCCACAGTCAAATGTCTAATATGCTTGAATCAATGGCGTATGAGCATCTGGGCCTGTGTAGGTGCAGACCGGACGGAGGAACTGGACCGTGGAGCAGTGGAAGACCTTGTGTGGGGTCTGTGGAGTCCTGTTTTCTTCTTACATGGATCTTGTGGATGCTTGAGTTTGTGTCCACTATTAACTTGGGCATGTGATGGCACCAGGATACACTGTGGGAACATGACAAGCTGGTCGAGGGACTGGGATGTTCTGGGAATTGATCTGACATATAATTACAATAAAAAAGTGTAAGTGTTATGACAAAGGTTTTACATCAGTGGTATTAAATGCCAAGTCAGTCATCACAGATTGGGACATGCTGTGTTTTGGGTGATGTGTGCTTTTGAATGAGATATGTGCACCTTCATAGAGTGGATCAAGATTTAGCGATAAACAACTGCAGCTGTATTCGGTTCCTCAAACATAACTATTGGAAACCGTCAATGAGCACTCTGAATGCAACATGGCGTCATTTGGACTACTTTGGTGCTGCTATATAATTCTATATTGTAAATAAAATTATCACTCTATATTTCTGATGTTTTTGATATTTCTCTATATTTGATGTTCCTGTGGCTCAGTGGTAGAGCATTGCGTTAGCAGCGCAAAAGGTTGTGGGTTCGATTCCCAGGGAACACACATACTGGTAAAAAATGTATAGCCTGAATGCACTGTAAGTCGCTTTGGATATAAGTGTCTGCTAAATGCATAAATTATTATTATTATTATATTTCTCTGCCTGTTTTGTTTTTTACATTGTTGAAAAGTGGTTTGAGGTTTACTCCTCAGGCCAGAGCAGAAGAGAAATGCAGGGAATAAATAGAAGGATTTTGTGTATGTGTGTAAGTGCACTGGTTTAAAGTTGTTGAGTTGTTAAAGGGATCGTTCACCAAAAAAGGATCTGATTGTATTCGTCTGAAAGAAAAATGTCATACACAGCTAGGATGGCTTTCATTTTTGGGTGAACTATCCCTTTAAGTGTTGTCAGCAGGGACACCTGCTTCTAGAACGCTGCGATGGTCTCAGAAGTTTGGGTGGAAGTTGGCAGCTCATTCCTCCAGAGAGGAACAGACAGAGGGTTTTGACTGGGAGCCAGTGGAGTGAGATCAGGAGGCCTGTGACGTGGATCTGACTTTGCTTGTCTTCACAAGCTTGAGCAGGCAGAGATGCAAGCTGAGATGGTGGGATCATCAGGTTGAAACGACACATGTGTAAGCTGTGTATCATGTGCGTAGCAGCGGCAGGAGAAGCCTTGTTTCATTATTATTGTGCTCAAATAAAGAAAAAAAAAAGATTAATGCAGTGATTTAGACTCACCTGGGCTACTATGTATGAAAGAAAATGTAAGATAAAGCTGGGAAGAATAACATGTTAAAAAATGATTGTACTAACACATGAACGTCGCTAGTGTTATATGCTCAAGCAATTTGTGAGCTCTTTCTCCTCAGCTTCACAAAGCAAAAGAGTGTATCAGAGTGAGGATGGTCCTCATGTGCCTAATGGACATCCGTCCTGCTGCTCCTCGGAGGACTGGCGTGTAGAATTAGTCTCGAAGAATAAAGCCACACAGGTCTAATGGAAGTATCATTACTTGCCATGCTTATATGTGTAATAAATTTAAGACATTCTTTACATTCTGTTAAATAAGCATTTCAGTTTTGATGTTTTATTATGTATATATTGACCCTGTAATAGAAAAGGGCCTTGAACACTAAACTTGGTAAAAGTGGTGTTGATATGATATTTGGATGACAAATTTTCACTTAGACATCAAAAATAACAAAACTTTGTGATCTCCATCTGTGTTCCTTGACGCTGATGAGGAGATCTTCCCATAGGGAGACCAGGATTGTCTCATTAAGACAAGCACATGTGCCCATGCTGCCAACTCCTTTAAATACACATCCAATTAAAAATGTGTGATTACATAAGATCGCACATGATCAGCCAACATGAACACCAAAGTGTTGTGTCTGAAAGAAGAAGCCGTGCTAATGCATTTGCAAGGTCTACATGTTCATTTGTCATGTCTGTATCATTTTTGGTACCTGTGCAATTATGAGTTTGCTTGTTTATTTATTTCAAGATGTATTTGCTTAGATGTCAATATATGGATTAAACTTTGGATATGTAAGATATGTAGAGCTCGTTGGAAACTTGCTGATATCTGACAAAAACTTTGCATGATCATGGACAAAACTCGCTTGATTTTTGATTTGAGGACCTTTTGAACCCTACTTTTTTTACTGCTAACAAAGTAAAAAAAAGCCCTACAATTTGAAATAAGACAAAGTGGAGCTGCCATATTTAGGGCTGGTTGTTGATTATCTTTTGACGTTGTCTTCTTACCTGTATCTTGTTACTAAAAAGTATCCTTTGATGTTGTACATTGCTTGACTTGCTTTTTCTGATAACACTAAATCAACACTCATAAGAAGCTTTGTCGTATTCTCCTTATGAGCGAACACACGGTGCCATTGTTTGAGTTTTTTATGTCTTCAGTGCAGTTTTTCTCAGCCTGTTGTTCTACGACACGAAGTGTTTTTTGTGTGCCATCTATGGCTTTTAGAAAGTCTCTTTGTATGCGATTTATCATCTGTGATGATTTGTGAGGATTGAAGCCCCGGTTCGTTCCTTCATCAGTGTGGATGTCCTCGCAGGCATTGATTCCCCTGTCTGTCCGCTTGGCAGTCATCAGAGAATGTGTCAGACCGGGTGATTTAAACTGTAAATCATGGTTACATCATTCCGTTCAAGTGAACCCTGGTGATATTCAAAGGAGTAACTCATACAGCGATATCTGTTCAGGAAACCCATTTTCCAGGATGGGAAATCCATTCTCTTCTGGAAAGGGCAGCAGAGGAGGTTCCCCTCATCAGAGAGAGTGCAGTTTTTACATGTTCTTGTGCCCAAAAACGATGACAGTATGCGTCCTACTGTGGATCTAAGAAATGCATGGAACCTGCGGATGCCTCGAACGATTGGCTGCTGCTAGCACATGCTGAGAGCTACACAACATTGAAACACTGTCACACTGATCACATGTTCATGCCATGAAACGACTGACTTATTTATTCTTCTGGCTGTTTCTCTCTGCAGTTCTGGAATCATGCCGAAGCACGTGGAGGTTAGGGTGCACGAAAGCCACCTGGAGCCGATCGAGGCGAGGCCAAGCTCCAAATTGGGAACAATATGTCAGAAGATGTGCAAGAACCTGCTGCTCACGCTGACTGTGATGGGTGAGTGCTCTTCAACAATCCACAGTGAGGAAAGGGAACAGCAGACAGAGAAAAGAAGACAGCACACATAGCATGTTCTGATGGTATCTGGACAGTAAAGGCTCAGAAGAGAGCAGGTGACAGTACATTTTAGTATAGTTCTGAAGCACTGCTGGATACAGAGCGAAAACAGAGGAAGTTACTGTCATATTGCATTGTTGAAGTAATTGAATAGGTGAATATATTCCTCTGGAGTCTTTGGAAGGTGTGGATGGCAGATAGTATTTCCGTGAAGAGATCCTGAGTGGGCAAGTGTGAGGCATTTGTGTGATTATGTGTGTTTCAGGATATAAAAAAAACAAGCTTCTTTTTAGGATTATCAAGGCAGAAAGTGCAGTGCCTCAGTAGGGGTGCGTTAGTTCTGTAGAGACTGTTGGGTACAGTAGGTGGTGGCAGAAGAGTGACTTCACTCGACACAATATCTGAAAACGTCCCGTATGACTGTCTGGACCTGCATTCCCAGACTCTTAACTGGGTGGTATGATTTATTTGTTTGGAATCGCATATGGCCACATATTTATCTATACCTTTAAAGTATGCTCAGGAATATTTTCCAACAGAAGGAACACTCTTTTCCCCATCATAGGTGTGATTTTGGGAGCTGTTTCTGGGATGCTGCTGCGTGTGGCTTCTCCGATCGATGACAACATTGTCATGGTAATTGCCTTCCCTGGAGATATTCTAATGAGGATGCTAAAAATGCTCATCCTTCCCTTAATCATCTCCAGCTTAATCACAGGTAACACAAACTTCATCTTTTAATAAGCTGTCAACAATAAGATTGAAAATGTTAAATACACTGATGAAACCACAAACAACTAATTCTGCTGATAATTCCTGCCTGGGTGTGTTATATTATACAGAGGGGGAAACAGTGAGGTCATCCTTAAACCTTAGGCCTTTTCAAAACATGCTCATCCCTTTCATTTAATTAAGCCAAGATCTACTGATGTAGAATGACGTGAGAAGAACTGTGCTCCATCTTTTTAAGATTATCTTCTCACAGATTCTGTTTGCTGTTGCTTCTGCTTTATAGTTCTTTACTGTATTTAAGGTTTTCTGATTTTGGTTATCAAAAACTGTTCTTTAATTTCTGTGCATTCAGTTTAATACTTAGAGAAGTGATCTGTGTCAAGAAAGGCCATTGCTTGTGCCCTATATTGGACTTGTGTTCGTTTGATCATGTCACCTATGAAGCATTGTTTAAAAATGAAAACACAGAATTAGACTGTCACAAGTTCAAGCAGCCGAAGTCTGCAGAAATAAATAGAGGTAGAGATAGAAATAGAGGGGAAGTTAAAGGTCTGAAGTAGGATGCTATTAAAAGTTTGGGGGGGTGGAAAATATTTATTTTCATATGGTTAGAATATTATATATAATATGCAATTACAGATGTCTGCTGTATTACATAGTTAAACATCCTGTTTAAGTTAGTTGAGTGATGTTAGTAGTGCCAGTAGTTGTCTGGAGTAGTCTAGACTTCGATAATAACTGCACTAACTTTTTAAAAAAGTATCTGCTTATAAACTGAAGGACACACTTTATTTAAGGGACCAATTCTCACTATTATTAACTAACTATGAACTACGACTTCTTCATCACCAACCTCCAAATTTGCTGACTATTAGACCTAATAGTTAGTAATGTTGTTAAGTTTAGGTATCAGGTCGGATTAAGGGATCTAAAATATGATCATTCAGAATAAGACATGCATATGTGCTTTATAAGTACTAATAAACAGCCGGTATGCTAGTAATATGCATGCTAATAAGCAACTAGTTAATAGTGAGAATTGGTCCCTAAAGTGTACACGTATTTCAATGATTACATGTATTGCGGATATATTCAGGATATAGTTGACATCTGTATAATAAATGAAGTAAAGTGAAGTGTGGCCAAGTATGGTGACCCATACACGGAATTTATACTCCACATTTAACCCATCCAAGAGCACACACACAGTCGTGAACACACACACACACACCCGGATCAATGGGCAGCCAATGCTGCGGCACCCAGGGAGCAGTTGGGGGTTCAGTGACTTCCTCAAAGCTCTCACCTCAGTCGTGAGTTATTGAGGGTGGAAGAGAGCACTTGTTATTCACTCCCCCCACCGACAATTCCTGCTGGACCGGAGACTCAAACCTGCAACCTTCAGGTTACAAGTCTGGCTCTCTAACTATTAGGCCACAACTGCCCCGATAAATTAATAAATGCACAAAAGCCCAGATTTACCAAAGTTTTGTGTATAAAAACACGTGCAAACTTGAAGGCACCCACAAGAACTGATTTGCAAATGGTCTACTGTTTCTAGTCTATTGAGGATCGTGTCTTTCATGCATAAAATAGCTCACCCTGTGTTTTTCTGAGGGTTTGCCCTAATTAATTAATATTAATTATAAAATGATCTCAAATTATAATGATTTGTGGCTTTCCTCCATTCATGCATGTTTTACTAAGCCCGATAGCCATTTAGGAAATTAAAATTGTGAGAACAAATGAATACAATTAAAAGGTGGAAATTAAATAGATATCCAGCAGACAATACACATATCTCTGTGATGCTGACTGTGATTTAAAACAATAATATTTGATGTTCACACAAAAGACATATAGAAGAACTTTTATTTATTTTTATTTTTTTTCTTGTGTGTCATATCTTTATATACGGCCCATATATATTTTGACACAATTTGTATGCACACTTTTTATTATTTTAGTTGCTGACCAAAACATATTCAAGTTACAGTCATATAATGAATATGGTCTTAAAGTGTACACTCTGAGCTTTAATTTGAGGGTATTCCCATCAAAATTGTAGGAAAGGTTGAGGAATTACAGCTCTTTATTATGTACCTCCCCCCTTTTTCAAGGGACCATAAGTAATTGGACGGTTGACTCAAAAGCCATTTCATGGACAGATGTGGGCTATTCTTTCGTTATTTCTACATCACTTAAACAGGTAAAAGGTCTGGAGCTGATTCTAAGTGTTTCATCTGCATTTGGAAGCTGTTGCTGTGAACCACATCATACAGTCAAAGATTTCTCCATACAAGTGAAACAGACGATTGTAACAGATCCATCAGAGAGATAGCAGGAACATTAGGAGCAGCCAGATCAACAGTTTGGTACATTCTGAGAAAAAGAGACTGCACTGGTGAGCTCAGAAACATAAAAAGAACTGGACGTCCACGGAGGACAACAGTGCTGGATGATCAGAGGACCCTCTCCATGGTAAAGAAAAACCCTTTCACAACATCCAGCCAAGAGAAGAACACTCTCCAGGAGGAAGATGTGTCTACAATCAAGAGAAGACTTCACCAGAGCAAATACAGAGGCTTCACCACAAGCTGCAAACAAGGCCAGATTAAATTTAGCCAAAAAACATCTAAAAAAGCCAGAGCACTCCTGGAAAAGCATTATTTGGATGGCTGAAATTAAGATCAACCTGCACCAGAATGACGGGAAGAAAAGAGTCTGGAGAAGGCTTGGAACAGCTCATGATCAAAGCACACACATCATCTGTGAAACATGGAGCAGTGTGATGCATGAGCTGCATTGCTTCAGTGGCTCTGAGTTACTGGTGTTTAGTGATGATGAGACAGAATACAGAAGCAGCCGGATGAACTCTGTAGTGTATAGAGATATACTCTCTGCCCAGATTCAGTCAAACGCAGCAAAGCTGATTGAGCGGTGCTTTATAGAACAAATGAACAATGACCAATGAACAAAGCATACGGCAATAGCAACCCAGGAGTTTCTGAAGGTAAAACAGTGGAATATTCTGCAGTGGCCGAGTCAATCATCTGATCTCAACCCGATTGAGCTGCATTTCACTCGCTGAAGACAAAACTAAAGGCAGAAAGAGCCACAAACACACAACAACTGAAGTCAGCTGCAGTAAAGACCTGGCAAAGCATCACAAAGAAGAAACCTAGTCTCTGCTGATGTCCATGAGTTACAGACTTAAGGCAGTCATTGCCTGCAAAGGATTCTCAACACAATATTAAAAATGAAGATTTTATTTCTGATTATATTTATTTGTCCCTGAAAATGCGGGGACTGTGTATAAAAATGGTTGTAATTCCTAAGCATTTTATGTTATATTTTTGTTCAACCCCTTGAATTAAAGCTTAAAGTCTGCACTTAAATTTCATCTTGATTGTTTTATTTTTAATTCTGTTCTGGTGGCTTACAGAGCCGAAATTATGAAAATTGTGTCAGTATCCAAATATATATGTATATGTACCTAACTGTATATCTATCTATCTGACTGAGCAAGAGTGGTAAAAAACTGTATATTAAAATACATAAAGGCACTGGAAAAAAATGTTTGAGTTGTGAATATGTATAAAATAATATGCCACGTCTCCCTAACTAAGGTCTCGCTGGTCTGGATGCAAAGTCAAGTGGTCGTCTGGGTTCCAGAGCCATGATTTATTACATGACCACTACTATCATTGCTGCTGTGCTGGGGGTCATCCTGGTGCTCCTCATCCACCCCGGAAACCCAAAACTCAAGGAGAATCTAGGAGAAGGAGCCGTGAATGATGAGGTTTCCAGTCTTGATGCCTTTTTTGACCTTATCAGAAACCTCTTCCCTGAGAACTTGGTTCAGGCTTGCTTCCAGCAGGTAAGAGTTCCACAGGGAACGTTCAGACTCGCTTTATATCAGGAGATTTGAACTACAAATTTGATACAGTATGCAAATTGTGTAATACATACTAATTTCTGTTGTTCTTAATATGAACACATTTTTGCTGTTTAACATGTTACAAATAATTATGATAGCTGTGCTTTTGGTTCGCATTATAGTGTATGGTCATTAAAGGAATAGTTCACCCAAAATGTGGATTTGCTGAAAATGTGCTCACCCTCAGACCATTAAAGATGTAGATGATTTTGTTTCTTCATCAGAACAGATTTGGAGAAATGTAGTATTACTGAATCAGGAGCAGAAACATCACCAAACACACTATACCAAAAAAGAAAAACACCGCTAAATGTGACATTATAATGGGTTTATGTGGATATTTTTTTTTATTTACTCACTTTAAGTTAATATTAATAAGGTAATATTTTTAATGTAAAATCAATCAATTTAGGCCTAGCTTACAATTATACTGTTATGTTGAATGGCTATAGTATGTAATTGCTCATTTTATGCCATATGAAATATTCAAAATATTATCTTCATGTTGTTTCCACATTCTCTTGGTGATTCAGTGTGAAATTTTATGTATGATACAATTTAGGTTAGGGTGTCATTAATAGTGGAAATAATTACATAATTATTTAGTTGTATTTACATTTAAAGTACCTGCATGTAAGTATAGATGTATTAAATGTTTAATTTAATAACGTGCATTGCCGCTAAAGACATCTGATATAAAGTGGGAGTGGAAGAATAAATTGGTGTAATTGATTGAGGTGATGTTGAAATGCACAGATCCAGACCGTCGTGAAGAAGGTAGAAGTTCAGCATGATTTCGATGACACCAACAGCACTGACTATCTGTCCAATGCCACCAAACCACCCCCTATTTTCAAAGACAAGAAATCTCTCCAGTTCAAGAGCGGCATGAACGTGCTGGGTAGGGCGACCATACTCGCAGATATCTATAGATAATTCCTTCACTTTTCGTTGAAATATTGATTGATATCTTTGTCTTTCGATGCTTTCCAGGTATAATTGGATTCTTCATTGCCTTTGGTATTTGCATGGGCAAGATGGGAGAGAAAGCTAGGCTCATGATTGACTTCTTTAACATACTCAATGAGATTGTGATGAAGCTGGTTATCATGATCATGTGGTCAGTTATGCTTTTTATGTCCTCTAGCTGATTACGAAGTCCAGTAATGAAACGATTTATACCGATGGACTCACATTATGGACTGACTCTGTAGGTACTCTCCCTTTGGCATCGCCTGCTTGATCTGTGGAAAGATCATCTCTATCAAAGATCTGGAGGTGGTGGGCAGGCAGCTGGGGATGTACATGGTGACGGTTATTATTGGTCTGATCATCCATGGTGCCATATTCCTGCCATGCATCTACTTTGCAATTGTACGGAAAAACCCCTTCTCGTTCTTCATGGGCATCTTCCAGGCCTGGATCACGGCTCTGGGCACAGCCTCTAGGTATGAAATTACACTACATGTTCTTTGCATGAATGATATATTCATTCTATGTAGCCATACATTTGAAAATGTTATTAAAATGTAATATTACATGGCCTGAAGGATTTTTTTAAATTTGTCTAACGCATCTCACAATACACATTCAAAGCAACTTTACCGAAATTGTTGATGTTAATGTTTGGAATACTAACTGTCTACATTTAGCAGTTTAGTGCTGGGCAATAGGATAGTTTACTTATGGTGTCAATATAAACAATGAAGTAATTGCTATATAGTTTATAATCTTAAGGTAGCATAAAACTAATTCGCACAACTCCAACCCAAATCAAATATAGCGATACATCGGTAACATCACATCTCATTGGTTCTTGTGTCATGACATCATGACATATAAGAAACAGTATGGTTTGGTGTTACTGACCTGTCACCATATTTGATTTATACTGAATAAGGAGTGTTCATCACATGAAGAGGTTGCTTCAGAAGTTTTGGATTTATTTTATGTCACTTTCATTTCCTTTATGGAACCTAAAACTTTTGAATCCCTTTGACTTTAATTGTATGGACAAAAACAGCTGAAACATTCTTTAAGTATCTTTTTTTTTTTTTCAGACAAACAATTATACTGTTAATTGTATTGGCAAATATCATCTAGCACTATTTATCATTGCATGTGTGTGTGTGTGTGCTTGAATACATGGTTAATGAGCACACAAATGCTAAAGGGGTCATGAACTGCCTTTGTTTTTTTATTTAGTACTGTACTCTGAGGTCCACTTATAATGTTATCAAGATTTTTACATCGGAAACATCATCATTTAGAATAGGCTATTTTCTGTGTTGTTTTGACCCCCTTCATCAGAACGCTCTGTTTGAATAGGCGTGGAGGGTTGTACACTCAGAAGTAAACGCCCACTGCTGTGATTGGCTAACAGTTGTGTGCGAATCGGTGGGCGGGGCTTGACAGGCAGTGATGTAGAAGCAGGTGTTGATCTTCTTCTGTAGATGCAGCACAGTTTTACATCATAGAGTTGAAGATTCCACAAACTGTCATTTAGGCAGACTGCATTCAATATAAGCTGTTTTTAAATTAACGAGAAAGTTTAGAGTTCTGAAATTTACAGGATGTTTTTATATTACAATGACGTCTTAAATGTCAAAAGATCAAGGGAATTTTGGTTTCTCAGTTTTTGGTTACCCCTTTAAAGTTTATAAATTACTATTATGAATAAGCATATTTACAAAAGACTATTGGCTCTCAGGCTAGCTCCAAAAAGTCACAAATTGCTAATTATTGCAACATAACCGCAAGCATAATTTATTATCCGAGTAAGAATTGTTTTCCTCTTCTTCTTCTTCTTCTAGCGCTGGCACTCTGCCCGTAACGTTCCGGTGTCTTGAGGAAAACCTTGGTATTGACAAGAGAGTTACACGTTTTGTGCTTCCTGTTGGAGCAACAATTAACATGGACGGAACAGCCCTCTATGAGGCTGTGGCTGCCATTTTTATTGCCCAGATGAACGGAATTTATTTAGATCCAGGTCAAATCGTCACTGTCAGGTAAGACAGAAGGGGCTACTTTTCAAAAATATATAATATGAACTAACATCCACCTAATTAATTAATGTCCTGTGCACCAACTAAATGTTACAGACAGGTGGAGCTGAGCATAAATCATATATTAAGCATATTTTCCTGTTTTTTTTGTAGGTGATTATAATCAACTATATTAGTTCCCATCCGCAGCAGTGGCATAGCACCAATTATTGCTTCTTCTTTTTTAATAAAGCAATAAATAAGTTAATAAAATCTAGCCCACTATCAAAACAATACACATTTTGACTGCTGACACATTAAATAGGTGTATAACTTATCTACATGCTTATATCAGTTGGAAATGTATCATCAGAAGTTTATGTGGGATGCCTAAAGTTTCCTTTCATAGGGTCTGAAGCTATGGGCTCTCCCTCCAGGTGTGATGATTGTCTGAAGCCCATGTCAGTTCTTTGGCTGATGGCGCTAACACCGCCCGTTGAGACGTAGCGTCACTGATGCCTCAAAAGGACATGCTTGTGCCATCACAACTCTTTTTCAGAGTTTTATCTGCCCGTGCTTTATTTGCTTTGAATGTTTTGAAGTGATGTTGCAACTTAACTTCAACTTAACACCTCAGTTAATGTTGAAACAATGTTTCATTTTCCAAAAAAAAAGCAATGTCACTGAATCAATCTTACACGGTGATGTTGATTCTAAATCATTGTTGTTGAATCAATATTGAAATGTAGTAATACTGAATTGAACAATATTAATATTGAATTTACCATATTTTCTATTTATTTATTTATTTTGTTTATTTTATTTATTTATTTTACACAATCAATGACAAAAAAAAAGACAAAATGGCAAAAGCACTACAACCTTTAAAATAATTAGTTTCAGGAGTCTGTTGTCAGACTAAAGTGGTCAAGTGGTTCAAGTTTTAAAAAGCTAGCTTACATCAGACTGCTGCCTCTTTTCCTTTATGTTTTTTTAAATCTGAAAAAGAAAGCATGAAGTCACGTAAAAGCAAGTAAATTCAGTGGTCATACATACAGTCACATTCAGAAATGTTAATGTTAAACACAATATGATTCACTTTTAAACTGCTCCACACAAAAACATTCTAACTATGATTTTAGTATCTTTAGAATCTATTCATTTAATATATTTAACACTTCAATATCAATATATTTTCTACAATTAACCCTTGTAAATAGAAGTGCAATGACAGGGGTGTCCAGTTTTTTCAGCTGAGTTCGTCTCCAGCCCTAATTAAACACCTGAAGCAGCTAATTAAGGTTTTTAAGATCACTGAAAATTTCCAGGCAGGTGTGTTGGACATGTGAACTCTAAACTCTGCATGAAGGTGGCCATCTCTGAGTTATGGCCATTACTCACAGGAAACAAGTATGGGATGTGAACATTAGTCAATAAATAAAGTAACAAGCTGCAGATTCAACTTATGTAGACTTGATCTTCTTAAATATCAAAAAAATAGCCTTGTCTGTCACTTTATCACAAACACAAGATGCGGTTTTTTGTGATTGCGTTTAAGTGGGAACTGAATAAAATAAATGGAGGCCATTTGCATTAAATTGAGGTAAATGAATGATTACCTGGCAAAGCGGTAATCTGGGAGCAGGACATAAGGCACAGGATAGCATCAAATTAATTCATGGAGAATGGAGTTTGCACCCTCAGACTGTGAATCTGATTTGGTAAAATGTTTGACAGGGCAGAGGTGGATGTGTTTGCTTCCTGTTGCCTCCTTTGGTTTGTCTCCATAATCACCTTTGTGGATAGAGATTCTTGCACAACAGTCTGTATGTTTTCCTGCTGATACGCATGCTTCCGACAATTATGATTGGAGTGTGCAGTGCATCTTCTTCTGTTGCTGGTTCCATTTTTGGCTGATCCGTATATTGTTCTTGGGTCTTATGTCGCTCCGGGAGGAGCCTCTTTGGGAGATTCGGATCAGAGCAGATCAGCTTTCTCGTGTTTTGGGCAGCATGTGGCACTCCTGTCTGGAGATGTGGAAACTTTGATTAAATGTGGTATTTCGTCTGACATTTCAGAGAACATTTTAAATGCAAGAGCTTTCTCTTCTAGACGGTTGTATGTGTTTAAGTGGAGACTGCTTTCTTCTTGTTTGCAAACAGCACAACATGGATTCTGTGGGAAATCCCACTTCTCTTGAAGGTTAAGGGACAATCTGGTACCTTCTCCTGGAGAAGTGGAGGTTGGACTTGTGGCCCCTCAATGGGCCGTGTCAATGGTCTGACTATCTCTAAGTTAAAAATGTCTCTTGGGCTAGTTTCAGTGATCCAGTGTCTTATAAGTTACAAGAGTTGCCCTGTCTTGTGATTACCCAGGCTTATTCTACTTAAAACGGCTCTGGGCTGTGGAGAGGAGCTTAAAGCAGCATCTGTCAATTAACTGTTGTGATTCTGTACGGCTTTAGACGTAGTCACTTCTGGGTGGAGTTCTTTAAATGCGAGTTACTACCACAGCGTCTCGTCCCCTAATTTAGGTAACCATGGTTATATTCGTGACCGGAACATTTTACTTAGATACTAGATATGGTGCTGACAGTGCCATAATGATCTGTGATTTTTGCTGTTTGCTTATATTTAACAAAAAATCAAATCAAATAAAACACATGTAAATAATCATAATCAAGTAATCATTTCCATAATGACATAATGTATATTTTGAATGCAACAATGCAAAATACAGTTTGATGGTCTGTTTCAGTTTTAGTTTCATTTTACTACTGTTCTTCCAAAATGGATGTACCAAATATCTTGTATTTCAAAAAGGCAAGACTCTTATACTACATTTTAAGGTGTACTGGAGAAATGAGGCCTAGGTGTTCAGTAACTTTTTTAGGCAAAATTCAGAACATCTTTGTCCTTTTTAAGCAGTAGGCTGTTCTTTTCACTTTAAGTTGTTCTGGACTAGGGATGTAACGATTACCGGTTTGATGATAAATCATGATAAAATTCCCAGAGTTTACGGGAAACCGCTGTAATTCAGCTTTACCATAAGCGTCACCTGGTGTCAGCGAGTGGATTTACAGAGACTTATATTTACATTCAGCCTGTGTGCAGTTTCTGTCTGGTCAAAAACAGACCGAATTTGCATGCCCTGCTGTAAATTTTGACCGGTTGATGAAAAACAAACTTATGTGGATTCTACACATTTAAACAATTCAGATACGTTATCTAGAATTATTTATGGAGCAGATAAAATACATATAATCATTTATTAATCAATTATCATTTCGATGTAAGCCCAGGAAGGGCTCCTGATCTCCGGTTAAGCCCAGGGAGGGCTCCTGATCCCCGGTTAAGCACAGGGAGGGCTCCTGTTTCCCCGATAAGCCCAGGGAGGGCTCCTGTTTCCGATGTCAGCCCAGGGAGGGTGGTTGTTTTCCTCATGTGCCTTCCTTTCCCATGTTTAATTTGTCCCAGGTGTTTCCCTTGATTGTTTCATTGCTCCCAGGTGTGTCTTGTCATCCCCTCCTCCTGTGTGTATAAATAGTGTTCCCTGTGTGTGCTCCAGCGTCCGGTATTGTTCAGGTCATGTTCATGTCATGTCTCCATGTATTGCGTGAGTGTTCCGTGTTCCTTTGTGTAAATTAAAACCCAGTTGGATTGATGTACTCCTCATCTCTCTCCGTTCCTTGCTGCTGACTCTGCTCAGCAGTGCACCCGTGACATAATGTTATTGTTTTAGTGATTATGCAAACAAAAAGTCATTTTATTTGTTGTTTGTTGATTTTTAAATATAAAACTTGGTGAAGCGATTTATGTGTCGGTTCTTTTTTAACATCTTCCAGCACATTTTAACAATACCGTGATAATTTTGGTCACTATAATCGTCATAAGAAATTTTCATACTGTTACATCCCTATTCTGGACACGATTTTCTACTAAATGCTTTATGTGTAAAGATGAATGAAACTAAAGTGCTTGCATTCCCATCATTTAGTCTTACAGCAACACTTGCCAGCGTTGGGGCAGCGAGTATCCCCAGTGCTGGACTGGTCACCATGTTACTCATTCTGACAGCCGTTGGACTTCCTACTCAAGATATCAGTCTGCTGGTGGCTGTTGACTGGCTTCTGTGAGTATTCTGATTCTAGACCTATTTGATCCAGATTGGGACTTTTAAATGTTAAATGAAAGCATTCCCTGAATACTGTCATATTTTAGATGATCCTACTATGAGGATGATCCTAAGATGAGGAAATGTATGTGATTGCTGAACAGAGCCTTTCATCTGTTTTTCTCCTCAGGGATCGTTTCCGTACCTCAGTTAATGTGGTTGGAGACTCATATGGGGCTGGCATCGTCTACCATCTGTCCAAGGCAGAGCTGGATGCTCTGGACGCCCAACATGGGAAGTCTGATGATATAGAGATGATGACCAAGACCCAGTCCTACTATGATGACCTCAAAAACCATCATGAAAACAACTCCAACCAGTGCGTCTATGCTGCTCAAAATTCAGTTTTATTAGATGATTGCAAGGTACAAGTTACGCTTATGGACGTAGAGACATCTACATAACACATCCCTGCATGCTCTACATGTCTCTTTTCTGATATATTTTGCATGTTTGTATATATGTATATGCACAAACATGTATGTGTGTATGTACATACATGGTAGCTACAGTATATACTGTATATATATGGGGGCTATCTGGATGTGAAAGTACGCATCCTTCAGGTCCAGAGAAAAGAACCAGTCCCTTGAGGATCTGTTTCAGCGTAGTCATCCTGAACGACCTTTTCATGAGGGTGTGACTTTTTGGGGATGAGGAAGTAACGGCTGTAGAAGCCCGACTCGCTCTGAGCTGGAGGAACCGTTTCTACAGATCTTTTTTCCAGCAGATTCATGACCTCTGAGCGCAGGACATGAGCTTCCTTGCTTTGCACTAAGGTGGGGACCACGCCGCTGAAGCGCATGAGTCTTCGAGCGAATTGGAGTGAATCTCCTCGTTTTATTATCCCTATGACCCATCTCGACACTCTGGGGATGGCCTGGAAGGCCTTGGCCCGCGTGGGGAGGGGTTGGATTAACTCGATTGACTGGCCGCATGGGGGCAGAATACTCATGAGAAATGGAAGAGGAAATTTGCTCTCTTTTTGAAAATGTTTGTGTTTTATTTTTCCTGCTATAACATAAGGCTGATTGCTTGGGCGCTTGAACGGGCAACAAACACATTTCCCTCTGTACCCAGAGTTGAACGGGGTGCTAGGAGGTCTAAGAGAGGCTGCTTGGGAGGCGGTCTGGTCGAAGTGAGACTTGGCCCCATCCTCTTCCTGTTCCGCAGATCAGGAAGACGCATGAGACGCCGGGTCCAACGGTATCTTGCGTCGGGGTCCCTGGCGCTTAGGAAGGGGGTAGCGTCTGGCCGAGCGGGAGCGCCCTCGCGTCTGATGAGCCTTAGCAGGCTGAACGGCGGGGGCGGCAGGTGCTGGTTTCGCGGGCTGCTGAGTTGACGTAGACTTAGGGCGACTAGAGGTAGCAGCGGAGCAGGTGCGCTTTGGCAGGAAATGTCGCATAGCTTGGGACGAATTCTGTGCCTCTGTGAAGCGCTCTGCGAATCCTTCGACCGCCGGTCTGAAGAGACCCTTGGGGGAGACCGGAGCTTCAAGGAAGGGGACCTTATCCGCGTCCTTGATCTCCGTTATCGTCAGCCATAAATGGCGCTCGAGCACCACAAGGCTGGCCATCGACCTCCCGTTCGCCTGAGCGGTGGTCTTGGTGGCGCACAGAGCCAGGTCGGTTGCGCTCCTCAGCTCCCTGAGGGTCGCGGGGTCCAGGCCAGACTCATCTGAGGATGCGAGAATCTTGGCCTGAAAGTCCTGGAAGACTGCCATTGAATGAAGCAACGAAGCCGCCTGTCCAGCTGAAGTGTAGGCGCGTCCAGCGAGAGCTGAAGTGGTCCTACAAGGCTTGGAAGGATGAGTGGCCTTTGCTCTCCAGCCGATAGCCGTGGGCGGGCAGAGGTGCGTGGCCACTGACTCATCCAGGGGAGGCAGCTTGTCGAACCCCTTCTCTTCAGCACCATCAATAGAAGTGAGGGCGGATGAAGCAGAAGTACTGAGGTGGGCAGAGTAGGGAGCGCGCCATGATCTGGTGAGCTCGTCGTGGACCTCCGGGAAGAATGGAGAGGCACGCTGACGAGGGGCCTGACGGCACCCCGGCAGGAACCATTCATCCAGATGGCTGCGAGAGGGTTCCTCTGGTGGAGACCATTCTAAACCCAGCTCTTCGACCGCTTTCGAGAGGATACAGAAAAGCTCGACATCCGTCCCGTCTTTGGCGGCGCTGGGTGTGGACGATGGCAAGGGGGTGGGGTTGGTCACCAAGCCCAACAGCTCCTCTGCGTCTGAGGCTGTCAATGACATGCTGTCATCAGTCAGCTCGTCCTCACCTCCCCCAAATGAGACCAGATTGCTCGCGCAGGCAGAGGGACGCTGAGCAGACTGGGAGAAGAGGACGGGAGAACTCTCTCTCTGGGGTGAGGGCGAGGCACGTGGGATCTGGGCTGACGTAAGCTTGCTTGCAGCCAGACGCTCAAGTCCTCTGCCCCGTTGTTTTTTCCTCACAGGTCCCTGGAAGGAAGAAAATGGGAGGGCGCGAGGGGCATAGTCACTCTCTGAAAAGAAAGCGATCCGCGAGCGAAGAGAGGAGAGACTGAAGTTCTCACAGTGAGAACAATCAGTTCCCGTGAGCGCAGCTTCCGCGTGGGATTTCCCCAAGCAGGAAACGCACTCCGTGTGGCCGTCATCGGCGTGCAGGGGAGACCCGCACGAACCGCAGTAACGGTGCGGCATTTGCAACCACGCCAAGCTCTTTTAGTAGCTGATCCTTCAGCTACCAGCATCCCAAAAACATTTAGAATCTGCCCAGACATATGACGTACTCATTGCTCTTCTGCATCGTGCAAGTTTCCCTGCACGAGCCACACTCGCAGCGCGACATTTGCAACGATGTCGCTAGAAATTGCTCTTTTAGGGCTTACCTGCTAGAAACAAGCTCTTTCAGAATCGCCGGATGGCGGCAGGGGAAATGGACCGGAACTGCTGTGTCACTGAGGCGGCAGAGAAGCAGGTCAGCCTAGCTGAGAGGTCCCAGTTCCAGCTGCGAAGGCGTGTCAACGGCGAGCAGGCTTCGGATCAGCGTAGAGAGTAGTCATCGCTGAAGGAGAAGAAATCTGAGAATCCTGTGGCGAACGCCCGCTTATATAGCCAGATGGCTCCGGCCATTCTGGCGGGCTCTGGCGGGCTTTGTCTCCATAGGCTCGTGCAGCTCCGCTGGTTCGTTTTTTCTACACTGCACGAACCAATGGCCGTGCAGTTTCACTGCGTGATTGAAAAAAGGCTTCAGTTCAGGAGAAAAAAGGCTTTTTCCCATAGCATCTTAGCAGACGCAGTACAAGTGTAGTATCAACAGGGAACAGGCTTTATTCAGCTCTGATGTATTTATGATACAGAGGCTTTATTGAGTGACTGAGTTTAAGTGATTATTAACTTAAGCTTAAAGTTCACATTTTTGTGAACACAAATTTGCTGATAATCAATTTTAAGAACATCAGCAATTAAGCCTTGCCTGAGACTAAACAAACTTTTAGGGGAATTAAGAATGAAAGAGTAGACCAGACCTCTTGAGTAGACACATCTTTATCTTCATGTTTTGTTTGTTTGGTGTATAATAGACAGAAAGCCTGCTCCTATTTTCTGCTGTCTGTTGTGCTTGCATGCTTTGGAAGCAAACAATAACTTAACAAAAAAACTAACCCAGCTTATCAAAAATGCAATCCATTGTAGAAGCCTTGCAAAGTAACCACTCATAAATGCCTGTACTATTGGTGTACCTTGTTATTTATATTTATTTTTTAATGGGAAAAGACTATGGTTTGTTGATGTCATAGAGCAGTTTGTGTATTTGTCACTGAATATTCTACATATACAGTGGGTACGGAAAGTATTCAGACCCCCTTCAATTTTTCACTCTTTGTTATATTGCAGCCATTTGCTAAAATCATTTAAGTTAATTTTTTTCCCTCATTAATGTACACACAGCACCCCATATTGACAGAAAAACACAGAATTGTTGACATTTTTGCAGATTTATTAAAAAAGAAAAACTGAAATATCACATGGTCCTAAGTATTCAGACCCTTTGCTGTGACACTCATATATTTAACTCAGATGCTGTCCATTTCTTCTGATCATCCTTGAGATGGTTCTACACCTTCATTTGAGTCCAGCTGTGTTTGATTATACTGATTGGACTTGATTAGGAAAGCCACACACCTGTCTATATAAGACCTTACAGCTCACAGTGCATGTCAGAGCAAATGAGAATCATGAGGTCAAAGGAACTGCCTGAAGAGCTCAGAGACAGAATTGTGGCAAGGCACAGATCTGGCCAAGGTTACAAAAAAAATTCTGCTGCACTTAAGGTTCCTAAGA